TATCTCCAACCCTATTCCTGATAATGTCTTCAGTAGCGGGTCAGTGGATTACGGCCCATAGGTTTGTTCCTTGTTAATAATATGGTCAATTCTGCTGATCCTTCAAAGAAGGTTTGCATCCGAATGGGAGTTGGTTACCACGGAAAAAGTTGTCAAATGTGGGTGCCTGGATATAAGAAAACGCCACAAAAGGGTAGTCTCTGTCTCCTAGTGACGGCGCAATACCTGCATTTGATAAGTTTAAATCTTCCATAAAACGATGAGCTGGGTAATGGTAACACGGAAATAGAAGATTAGGAGGGAGCTGGTAATTGAGGTATATTGAATTAAGCCTTTCTCCACAAAATACGCTCTCTGTGGGGCATAGCCCAAACCTAACCAGAACGGTGGCTGGTGGGCTCATTGGAACCCACGAGAAGTACCACGGTTGTCGGTCACAGTGATGGAACATTACTGCACGACTTCCGCGCCTCTCTGTTGGTTAACGTGAGTTCAATCGACCATTGTTGTTGTAGTCAACGCGGAAAGGTAATTAAAGATCCTAGGTAGCATTCAGTATAGCTCCTTGGAACGGCATGTTGAAACTCGTAGAGACATAAAGTACAGCCGACTTTTATATCCGGGCACTAACGAAGCATAGGTGCAGCTAGGCTTCGGTTTTGCTGAGGGTCACTCACCCAATGGGATACAACTCGAAGAAGACTGAATTTCGTCAAATACATTCACATTACTTCCCTCTTTTAACCAACTCTGACCAGTGCAAAATATTCAAGACGGGATACAAGGTTTTTCGTCGTGGCGTTGCTCAACTTAAACTACTAGCTATGATCTGTAAATGGAAGTAATTTCCTTTTTCGGCAAAGAGTTGAGGGCTAGAATGGCAGCGGAAATTATGACTAGGAATAGAGCAGTTTAACAAGTCTAGAATCTGGAAGGTATGCCAAACAGACGCGGGTTAAATTTAAAACTAAGTCACAGAAATAAAAACTTACGGATCGAACAGAGCGCTCAGTTGTAACCGATCGAATTTGATAAGGAATCGGCGCCGCCAAAAGGGAAAGAGACGCACCCGATAGGCAATAGTGCACTGGCGTCGACGTCCACCACCTCGCATCCCACTCTGACCAACTCTTGGTCGATGAGTGGAGAAGCGGAAGGCGGCAGGGAGGGCAGAACTGGAGGCGGTGTCGGTGACAACCTCTCCAGATGTTGTTGCGCTCAACCCGCCTACAGAAGAGGCGAACCCGCCGCCTCCGCTACCATTACTACCACTGGCAAGAGCTACGACTGAGGGGGGAAAAGGGCAAAAGTAGGAATTAAAGAACCTATTTCATTTGATGTAATAATAAAATCTGGTGTTAATTTAAATTCTAATGCTAATGCATAGTTTATAATTATGGTTTCAAATTCATGATGGTAAATATTATAAATTTACATTTTACACTTAATAATTAGTCAAATTTCACATTTCAATAAATTATGGCAGCGCAGTAACCGGTCAGAGTATTATCAGGCAGGTGTCCGGACGTAGGCTTAGTACAAATGGACAGAAAGGCTGAGGAGATAGCATTGTGGAGATTAAATCGCGAAGGATTCGTACAATTCTGAAATATTATTCCACCGCATAACGCCAATCTTAAGTGGCGTCAGGTATCCCAGCATTATCCGAGTGAATGAAAGTTAAACACAGAAAACCAGACGATGATTGTACCGTGAGTATTCAACATGACATGATTTCGGAACTCGATGGTACCTGTGATGGTAAAAAGCTTTGGAAAGTAGTTTTCAGACAGGTTTATGTTCTATGGTGAATGTGAGTCATTCGTTAATCGGTTAGCATGCAAAAATTTGCCCACAAGCAAAACCTATTTACCTAAATTCACGTTTCAAAGCAGCGCCTTGGAGTCTCAGTCTAGTACTAGTTTCTTCTGCGTCATTCAAAACTTCAAATGTCCCTCAAATTGTACTACTTTTGTGTCGTCAGTATCAGCAAATCTTTGATGGACGATTTTGATCAATTCTGAAGGCACTGCATCACAGACCATGATGCAGAACTTGAGACTGAGGTGAACACTAAACGCTTGATATAGACTTCTTGGTCCTCCTATTACAGGTTTACAAATCGAATTCTATATCAATTCAGCTACACCCACTTGCATTTCTAGCCTCAAAACTGTTTTTTACTTCTATTCCCCTCAATCATTACCAAAAAAGATTCAAAAGGCTGCCAATTAAGAAAGCGCACCTGACTAACATCCGCTAAAATTTAACATTTAAGTGAGCAGGCTCCTCCAGTCTCTGTAGGTTTCACCATTTTGGCGTTATGGTGTTCTATTTGTGCCGTTACTGTTAACACTACCAATCCTTCTGTACATTTAACATAAAATTCTATCTAAACTCATGCCTCCTATAACATCTTCAGGGAGGACGACTTGGACGCCACAACGGAGCTTCGCACAAATATGTTTGGAAGGAAAGAGAAAAGGTAATGAGCACTTACCGGATGTATCAGCCGCACTCAAAGCAGTAGCCGCAGCAGCAGTGGCGTTGCCAGAGGTATCAGTGGTGGCCACACGGGAAGATTGAGAGACAGCGACACTGGTCCATTCAAAGGCGCTAGCGTAGGTGTTATTATCGTTAGCATTGTTGGAGGTAAGGAGGGTGCGATTCGAGTGTCCTGATGACGGCGGCCTGGGTGGTTCCCGCACGAGGCGATACATTGAGACACTGAGGGAGGGCTGCTGGTCGCTATGCCAACAGAGAGGGTTCGTGATATTTACCCATAAATCCTCCCTCATTCGCACAGTACTCTTAGCAAATTCTGCCGTATATTTTTAAACTGCTTGCACTAATACGTTCGCCACCCAAGTCTCAGAGGAAAATCGACCACCACAGATGCAAACACTCGCACTACCAAATCGTCCTATTAACTGTTCATCAAAATTAAAATTTTTAGTGTTTTAAGTTCAAGCAGTTGGTGCGTCACATGACTGATAAAGACCACATGTTGTGGATCGGTGACCTCATGCCCGGATAGGAAAATTAGGCAGCCACATGTATGTGACGCTGGTGGTGGGTGTGTTAATAAAGTAGAATACGTGAAAACTTTGCAAATAAGAAAAAAACTCAATCAATCGGCATTGCATTATCTCTGTTTTGAGGAAATGATATTCTATTTTGGAAGACGCGTTTAAGACACAAAAAGCTTCTGTACTTGATATCCGTTTATTCGGCTTCTCAGAGCAGAAGGGTATAGGCACAAATAAAATTCAATGATATTGAGGGGTAACCGTCATTGGGAAATAGAGAATAAACTCCTGTGATTTCCAGAAGACATTCGATCATTCCACCTTCAATGCCTCTGTCATGTGGAAAGGTGACTAGGATTATAATCCTATTATTTGAAATATCTACTGCAACGCAGTGAGTGTCGAAAACAAGGATCTAAGCCAGTTTTAGCACTTACAGTCGCCCTATTGGCGGATAAATAGGCAACCGTCTGCGACAGATGCCTTATGGAGGGTAATGACAGAATAAACGCCTGTAGCAATATAAGCGAAAACCTTAGTCCTGTGCTTAGCACGTATGCCGGTGGAGATGGGTTATTGCTCCGGGTGCGCATTCTACCCCACAAAAAACGTACGACAGAATGCCACACTTTCATCTCGAGCTTGACGTCCGCAAGGATCACAACCATCAGTCCCTCCAAGAACAGCTGTTTCACCAAACTCATGAGATAGAAGTGGTAAAATGACACGCTGGGAAAGGACTTATTATCACTACCCCTTTTCTCACTTACATTTCTATCGGAAATAATAAAATTTGGAACATGTGAGGACGTTCATTCTGTCCTCAAAATGCTATAGTTTTATTTTGCAAAGTGAAATAATTTTCATGAAATCACTCCGACTTAAAACGATGACCGCAAACCAGATGTTGACAGATAAAAGCATACAGTGTAATTTCCAATAAAAACTAAGTATTCATTACCTGACTTTCGGAAATGCAGTGGATTCTACAAAGGAACTGCAGTAGTTCAAATAAATCAAGAGTATAAATGGAACTGCATGAGCGAAAAAAGGCGTTTATCCGAAAACTCCCGTCTTTGATTCCCTAACTCTGGTGGTTTTTTAAAAGGAAATTCCTCTTCCCCAACTTCGAGTTGCATGGAGATAGATCTCAGCCATAACTGTTGTTCGGCCTTTAGCAAGCGAACAACCCCGTCTGCAGTCCACCACACACGCACACGCACAAAACAACCATGGTCTTCAGAGGATGAGGTGGTGCAAGCCCTAGAAGTATGGAATGGTAGTGAGTGGATTGTTCAGCTACAAACATTTCCTGCCACAAAGGTGTCAGTCAGCAAATACCCTCAAGTGCATGGAGCATTTTTAAGGTGTAAGTAAAATTAGTGAGATGTATATGCCTTCGAGCGATTTACCGGGGGAATCGTCTTCTACAGCTTTGGAACCAAGCTCGTCAAGCAGACAAACGCCAATCATACCCAACAACTTCAGCTCACATCTATGACATGAAGATTAAAATACAAGGGGAAAACAGCAGAGCACAATAAAGAGCACCACACCAATTGAATGACGCAGGTTTATATATATATATATATATATATATATATATATATA